AAGCCGTCTTGCAGCCGTTTTTGAAGCCCCAAATGCGGCTTCAAGTGCAACGAAAGGGCTTAAGATTCCCCATTACGACGGAACAACATCCTGGACCGCGTTCAAGCTACAGTTTGAGACACTTATGGAGGCTTATGGTTGGACTCAGAAGGAAGCACAGTCAGCCCTTACCCTGGCCCTCCGTGATCAAGCGCTCTCAGTGCTGGAAGCTATCGGCGCAAGTGGGGATCTCAGCTTTAGTGCCCTCCTCGACGCACTTGAGGCACGTTTTGGAGACAGCCACCTCGAGCACGTGTACAGAGCGCAATTAAAAGAGCGTACTCAGCGTGCTAATGAGGGCCTACAGCAATGGTCCGTGGAAATCGAGAAACTTGTGCGTCGAGCTTTCCGGTCGACTCCGTCAATGATTGAAGGCACGCTTCTCCAAGCGTTCATTGACGGTATTCGGGACCCCGAAGTACGAGCCGCTGTTCATCTGGGCCATCACAAGAACATGAAAGAAGCTCTGGCCCATGCATTGGAAGTGGAAGCCGTGCGTGGTAACTCCCGTACCTTACGTCTGCGGGAAATGACGACAACGGAGCAGGTACCTCCACGCCGTCGGAACTTCATGTGCTATGGATGCGGAGAGCGTGGGCACATGCGGAGCGACTGCCCGAAGAAGGTGAACCGCCAGGACGCGGCGGTCTCAACTTCTGACCAGCAGGGAAACTAAATCCAGCCAGGGCTGCGGGGTGGGCGCTGGCCGGTAGTGGAATAACCCCAACAATCTACATCAAGCAAACCAACGACGGAAATACTCTGGTGATAGACGGTCAAGTAAATGGGAAAAACAGTCAGCTAACATTAGATACTGGAGCTTCAAGGACGGTGATGAATGTTCGGCTGCTCGAGCAAAACATCAGGAAACACCTTAAACCAATTGTTGGCCTACAAATGAAATCAGCTACCGGCCAGTGCATACCGATAAGTGGAAAATTGCATGTAACAATCAAAATTGGGGAACGTGTTTATCGACATGAGGTTATTGTGGCCAAAATTCTGGATGACTGCATCCTGGGACTTGACTTCCTGCGAGGGCACCAGTGTAATATCGACTTAAAATCTGGAGTATTACTATGTGGAACTGAGGAAATTCCGATGAAGGGTGGAACCCTAGGAAAAGTTTGCTGTTTAAGAAGAACTGTTCTTGCACCAAAATCACAGACTCTCGTACCAATCGCATTACCTAGGAGGAGGGAAGGAAGTTTACCTCGAAGGTGCGCTGTGATTGATAAATCGGAACACGTAAACTCATGGCTACCGGCAAGAACTGTCGTGGGGTCATCTGATGTCAACCGCATTCCGGTATTCAACTTCAGTGATTCAAAAATTACGATTGAAGAAGGAGAGCCTGTGGGCGTATTGGAAGAAGTGGCCTGGATAAGAAAATGCTCGGAGAATCTTGTGAAGAAGGACAGTACGGGAATTGACTTTGTAACGAAAATCTTAGACGAAAACAAAAGTCTGACAAAAGTGGAGACTATGAAAGCTAGAAATTTACTTCTTCGATTCTCTGATGTGTTTTCAAGAAGCGATGGTGATATTGGCCGAACTGGTTTGGTGAAGCATAAAATAAACACAGGTGATACAATGCCAATTCGTCAAAGGCCCAGACGCATACCATTCGCTCGTGAGAAAGAGGTTGAAGAAATGATTGACGATATGAGGAAAAATGACGTGATAGAGCCCTCTTCTAGCCCTTGGTGTTCACCTGTCGTGCTTGTCAAGAAGAAAGATGGTTCAACGAGGTTTTGCGTAGACTATCGACGATTGAATGATGTAACCAAGAAGGATAGCTACCCGTTACCAAGAATCGATGACACACTTGACACATTGAGTGGCATGAAATGGTTTTCAACGCTCGATCTGAAAAGCGGCTATTGGCAGGTGGATTTGGATCCCAAGGACAAGGAAAAGACCGCATTCTCAACTGGGAAGGGACTCTGGCAATTTAAGGTGATGCCATTTGGATTATGCAATGCACCGGCAACTTTTGAGCGTTTGATGGAACAGGTGCTGGCGGGACTGCTGGGCGAAACCTGCCTAGTTTACCTCGATGACATCATCATTGTTGGACGGGATTTTGACGATCATCTAAGGAAATTGGAAAAGGTACTCGACAAGCTGCGTGGAGCAAATTTAAAGTTGAGTCCAAAGAAATGCTCTTTCTTCAAGCGCGAAGTGAATTATCTAGGACATGTTATTTCTGAGAGAGGAATTGAGACTGATCCAGCCAAGACTGTCGCTGTCAAGGAATGGCCAACACCTAAAGACAAAACGCAAGTTCGGGCATTTCTTGGATTGTGCTCGTATTATCGGCGGTTTGTGAAAGGATTCTCGGACATTGCCAAGCCATTGCATCGATTGACAGAGGATAAACGTGCCTTTGTTTGGGACGAGGATTGTGAGCAAGCCTTTCGAGAACTAAAAGAACGGCTTTGTAACACACCAATTCTCGGATATCCCAGCGCGAAAGGAATATTCGTAGTTGATACGGATGCCAGCAATATTGGAATAGGAGGTGTCCTTTCACAACGCGATGGTGAGCAGGAGAAGGTTATTGCTTACTTCAGCAAGTCACTATCCAAGCCAGAGAGGAATTATTGCGTGACCAGGAGGGAATTGCTGGCCGTAGTCAAAACCCTGCACCATTTCAAGAAGTATTTACTGGGACGGAAATTTTTGATCAGAACTGATCACGCTGCTTTGAAATGGCTGCTTCAGTTTAAGGATCCCGAAGGCCAAGTAGCCAGATGGCTGGAACAACTTCAGGAATTTGACTTTGAAATCAAACATCGCGGCGGAAGAATTCATGGCAACGCAGATGCATTATCGAGACGCCCATGCGTGGAAGATTGCAAACATTGTGCTAAGAAAGAAACTGCTTTTCTTAAGGTGATAAGGACTGATACTGTTGACGAGGCATGGGGAAATGATGCGATGAAATTAGAACAGGAAAGAGATGCAGATATTAAACCAATACTGGAGTGGCTACGAAGTGGTAACAAGCCAAGTTGGAGTGACGTCGCCCAATATAGCGCGGTAACGAAAGGTTTATGGGCACAGTGGAAAAGCCTTACGCTGCATAACGGACTTCTGTGCAGGAAATGGGAATCAACAAACGGCAAGGACGAGCATTTGCAATTGGTGGTGCCTCGTTCAAAAATAAGGGATGTATTAAAAGCGTTCCATGATGGATCTTCTGGAGGACATTTGGGAATTAGGAGGACTTTGGTGAAGATCAAGGAGAGGTTTTATTGGTTGCATTGCAAATATGACGTCGAAGATTGGTGCCGGAAATGCACTAGTTGTGCAGCTGTCAAGGGTCCACAAACAAGGAGCAGGGGGGCGATGAAAATCTACAATGTTGGTATGCCTTGGGAGAGAATAGCCTTAGACATCGCTGGACCATTTCCAATCACTGATTCGGGCAATCGCTACGTTTTAGTGGTTATGGACTATTTTACAAAATGGCCGGAGGTCTTTGCCATACCGAATCAAGAGGCAGTAACTGTAGCCACGAAGTTGGTAAACGAGGTATTCACCCGATTCGGAGTGCCCTTGGAGATGCACAGTGATCAAGGACGGAACTTTGAATCCCAAGTTTTTCAGGAAACTTGTAAACTTTTGGGAATCCATAAGACTCGAACGACCCCTTATCATCCACAGTCAGATGGAATGGTCGAACGCTTCAACCAAACATTGGAGCGACACTTAGCAAAGGTGGTTGACAGCCATCAGAGAGATTGGGACACTTACATACCTCTCTTCTTGCTTGCCTATCGGACTGCTGTACATGAAAGTACCGCAAAGACGCCTGCATTTGCAAATTTTGGAAGGGAATTGAGATTACCGGCAGATCTTGTATCGGGCTGTCCACCTGGCGACTCTCGCACCGAGTTTAGCGATTACATAAGCGAGTTAAGGGCAAAAATGTTGGACATTTATGAGCAGATCAGGGAGGCCGGTTTTCAAGCTAGTGATCGCGCAAAGACGCGCTATGATCGACGAGCCAATTCTGTTGGGTTTGAAGAGGGGTCATTGGTCTGGCTTCATAATCCAGTCAGAAGGAAGGGAAAATCTCCGAAGCTGCAACCGAGTTGGGAAGGTCCTTATGAGATAGTCACGAAGATCAATGACATTACTTACAGAATTCGGAAGACTTCAAGGAGCCCTTTGAAAGTTGTCCATATAGACAGGTTGGCGAGGTATTACGGCAGCAACGATGCTCGGGACGAGCGAATCTAAGAGGGGGGCAGTGTGACGGAAAAGTGGTTCAAACTCTTTGACATCATGACGTCAATGGATGGTTGTCAAACGTTGCCTAGAGATTGTAAATTTCGTCGTGAATTGTCAACACGAGTTGGTGTAATCGGTAAGGCGTGTGGATTACACCACAGAGACCCCGAGTTCGAGTCCCGCCGTAAACATGTAGTTTTTTAGTTGATAGAAGTTTTGTGGAACTTTCTGGAATTATTTGTGTGAAAGAAATGAAAAATTAAAGAGCGAGAAGGAGAATAAATAAAAATGAGTAACGAAATTATTGGAAGGTTCTGGAGTCATGACGATCAAAAAGAATAACGAAATTTAATGTTCCAGAACCTGAACCGGGGGTATATAAGCGGAACTGCGGCTCACCGCTGGCAGTTGAGTTCTAAGTCTAAAGCGATTCGGAAGAAAAGGAAGAAGTGAAAAAGAAGAAAAGTGAGTGAAATAGTGAAGTGCAGTGAAATAGTGAAGTGCAGTCAGTTAAGTGAGTTAAGTCAGCGTGAACGGCAAAGTTGTGTCAGTCGGCCGGACTCTGCTGGAGAGGAACGCCGATAACTTAACTCCGTGGACGCTGTAACTTAAGTGCAATAGAAAGTCTGAAATCTGGTATTAGTGTTTCATTTCATCCAATCCCGTAACCCAAGCCCGCATAGTCAGGAACGTGACGTCAGGCACGTAACAATATTGTGGTTTATAGTCAGAGAATGACACTAATTCAGGGCTCATTCAGGGTGAAAGAAGTCATTGATGATAACAACATAGAGAGTAATCCTACAGCTTCTAAATAAGCAAATTTTTCAATAAGTTTGTTACTTAAATATACAGAACTACTAAACGTAAAAAGATATAATTACAAATATGTTATAGCCTATATCAAATAATAGTCTTCGGAACAAAAGCTACTTAAAACAAAATACTTCTGTAAACTACTCTTTCTTCTCCAAAGTCTTCACGTACTTCTCCGGCCTAAATCTCTTGAAGTTCCATCCAAAACTTCTCTGCGTTCCCGTCCTATTAAGAGATGGGGAAGAAGGAATCGAGTCTCCCTGTCGAGAGAGAGTGGAGGAGTCCTCAGGAATAGAGAGGTCAGTAGGAGAAGCTGACATATTAGGGGTATAGAGAATATTGGTGGATGCCTTCAAGTCTTCCTCAAGGTCCTTCATGACGCTGGCGCTGCAGAGTGGAGTTTCCACCTGTTCCACCGAGTTGAGGTTGTCGACGTCAATCTTGTAGGCTTCTTCCTTCTTGCTGTAGCTGTGGAAGATCAGACAGTTAGGTTAAGCAGGTAAACCATTCAGTTCAGTTCAAGTGTGAGACAGCCACGCTTCGGCACGAATAGGTTGGCTCGATCGGAGTGATACCACGGCCTCACAGACAAACAACGTGAAACAACGACGTTGTGTTTCACCGTGTGAGAAAGTTTTTCGGAGGGACAATCCTTCCCTTCCCCCATTCCCATTCCAATCCTTAAATCTCCAAATCCTCAATCCCTGAAAGGTTGGCATTGCACTCGTAACTGCTCTGTTGTTGCGGGTGTCCATGAGCGGCTTTGGTTGCTTACCATCAGGTAATCCGTCTGGTGGTTTGACGACCGATCACATAAAAAAATGTTGGTTTTGGTAAAAGGTACGACCCGCAGTGGTGGTCGCCACCGCCTTCATGTGTACCGATCGGGCAAGCAGATGACATTACAATGCAATGGTACAATCGATGGCCTCGTGGTGGTACTAAGCTGCCTATCAGTAAACATTTCGAGTTTGGGGTCATGACAAGTGTCCATTTCTTCTGATAAGGAGGACATTTGCATAAAAGCTGATTATTAGTTCTTTCCTTACGACGGATTCAGTCAAAAATGTATTCTATTCCCATAATCTATAGTTAGTATTTTCATCTCTAGATAGCAGCTAAAAGTATATTATTTTTATGCTATGACTAAACCTATACATATGAGTATTGATAATAATAAAATATGATTTATATTCCATCTTTAAATACTGAGTGTGGTTGAATTGCTCTCGCCAGATGTTGTTTCGAGTACTTTTTGCAATGTTTATGCCAATCATAGGCCACTCAAGGAATGATAAAGCTTCCAAACATGCACTATACATATAGAACTACTAGCTTATGCCCGCGACCTCGTTCACGCTAAACAGTGACTTCTTTTCGGTATAAAAACTATCCTATGTCCTTATTCGAGTTCCAAACTATGTCTGTATCATATTTCACGCAAATCGGTTATGTAGTTTAGGCGTGAATAAAGATAAGACAGACAGAGTTACTTTCGAATTTATAATATTAGTTTGGATAAAGCCGCCATTGATAACTTCTCTAGTATTCCATAAGTGTAAGAAACCGACATGAGCCGACATGCTTCGACACGAATGGGTCCGCTCGACCGGAGTGATACCACAACCTCACAGAAAACCGACGTGAAGCAACACTTATGTAAGTGAGGTTAAACTTATGTAGTTGAGGCCATGTGAGTGAGGTTACCTGCAGGCCCAATTCTTCCCCCATCTCCCTATTCTCAATCCTTAAATCCCCTATCCTTAAATCCCCAATAAACCACAAGAGGCCGGCAACGACTATAAGTGGTCAAAAGCACGTGGACCCGCAGCTGAAAACTTTTAGATTTTCAGAGCTGAATATCTTAGTAATATTATAAATGTGAAAGTTACGATGTTTGGATGTTTCGCCAATCACGCCAAAACGGCAAAACTTTGATTGATTGGATCAAATTTGGCAAAGGCATAGGATACACTCCGGAATAGGACATAGGCTACTTTTTATCAACATACCACGCGAGCGAAGCCGCAGACAGAAGCTAGTATAGATGTATGTATAAGAACAGAGACAAAATGCTATCTCAATAGTTTAGCTTATAAAAAGTGACGCATATTTAACTTACTGCACAACATTTTTGAACCGGTATCCCCACATGATTTCCTTAGAGAGGTAGGAGGTTCTGCTCTGTGTGGTAGTTCCCATGTTCTTCGATGCACCAGTCAAACAGACCACGATCTCGAATCTAGAACAAAATAGACATCATTCAGTAACCTAACCACCGTTTTGTATCAGCTAAGAATTTGGCAGAAATTATAGGTAGTGTGTAAAATACTAGTCAGCTTACTGTATTAACATTTGATAAAATGTATAAATATCAATGATGTATAAAACTATAGATACGTTGTCCGCGCTCTAAAATGACAACATGAAATGAAGGCAATTGACAACATCGCGCTTAGCTACGCACCAACCTGCCGCGCGACGCTACGTTTGTTTTTAATTTATATCGTGTGTAAACCTGTGCGAAACATAAAGAAAGCATGTCGTCGTGTGTGTTCAGACGATGTACAAATTATACTCCAAAAGTTAAAGACAAAAATGTGTCATTTCATGCGTAAGTTCACCAAACAACCTATTTTTATTTTATTTTTTTCGACGCCGGTGCCCGCCATCTTATGGCGGCCGGCGCATGAAGGTATAGTCACGTGCGTCGGCATAACTGAAGATGTATATTTATCTCCCTCTAGCAAAGGCATTCCACTATACGATGTCATATTTTCTTTCCCTTTCTTTACTCGTAGAAGTAGTTATCTAGTATTTTCGCCGTTTTTAAGCGCCGCGATGTTGGTTCATGACGTGTCTATATATAATACGTCATTGATAAATATGTATTAATAATAATAAATGTATATGAAGGCACCGGGGGGTTGTTACGAACATCAACATCCCGATCATCATCTTCACAGTCCATCGCAGGGCGTAGGATTTTATAATCAGGCCGAATAAATTGCAAAAATAACGGACGTCGGCGATCCGCCTCCAATGACAGTCACAGCGCTCGCTCTCCACCATAATGCGCACGCAGAACTGTCTGTTTGACGTTCCGCCAGAGTACGATTCATTGTACCCTCGTCCGATGAATTGTGTTAAAACCTCCTTCAAAATTCAATTTAAATAAATCGACGCACCGTCATATAAATATATTATAGAAGACTTTTCAACTGAAGACATTATATAAAAAAAAGAATAACGACGGAGTTTCCTAACCGTTCTTCTTCATTTGAATCTGCACTTTGGAACGAGCACCTAGCTACACTGACGAACAGACCGTCAGAGATAGACTATTATTCTATTTTGATATTTCAAAAGCATTTATTTATGTTGAAGTTGGAATAAATAATTTAGAGTTTTGAAAAGAATTTCCATAGCAAACCTATAATCCATCATGTCTTGGGCAGAGAAGTCGTAGAGCGGGCTCCGTCGGTTGATGACGTGCACCACTGTGATGGGCCACAGAAGGAAAGCTCGCGACTCCTTCAGCTCCAGCTGGTGCATGTAGTTGTGGACCAGCTCTCCTTCTAGAGTTCTATTGAGAAAAGATAATGAAGAAGTTATGAAGGTTTTCTTCTTTGTGAGGAAAGACAATGAAATAATTTCTCTCACCTAAAAATAGAAATATCGTCCAGTTTTGCTCTGCATTTTAAAAATTGGAAACTAGTAAACAATTGTTCAAGCAACAGAACATGTTGAAAAATTAGGTGTAGGAGAGCGATATTTCGCCATGAATGGGTGGTCGAAAAGAATAATACCACGGCCTTACAGATAAAGCGTTGTGTTTCGCCGTATACCGAAAGTCGAATCGCCGTATTTCGAGTTTACCGGGGGCTTAATCCCACATTATTTTCCACAATCTCAAAATCCCCAAAAACCCTTATATCCAAAAGGCTAACAACAAACTCTTTTGTTATTTATTATGTTTTCGGCTTACTCACGTAATAATTTGACGAGATACTCGACTAGTTTCAAGCCATGCTAGAGGCCCATATTCATGAGCCCTCGAGTCTGCGCGCCCACTGCCTGCACTGCGCTGCCGATACCACGGCTAGAAGAAAGTGCGCGTGAATCACGGAGGAGGGCGCGCAGACTCGAGTAGCCAGTAGCAGCGCGACGGTCGCCGAGTCGCGTGTCGCGGAATGCTGCTCATTAATATGGGCCTCTATCATGGCTTGAAACTAGTCGAGTATCTCGTCAAATTATTACGTGAGTAAGCCGAAAACATAATAAATAATTTAGAATGTCTCACGAAAGTTATAATAAAAACTCTTTTGTGTCTGTTGCGGTTGTCAATAGGTGGCGATAATTGCCTACCATCAGGTAATCCGTCTGCTCGTTTGCAGCCGTATCACATAACAGATTGCTTGTATAGGGCTATACAGTTACCTGATGGGTTTCAACATGTAGGCGGTGATGCTGCTTCCTATAATGTGTACGTTCATCAGATCCCAAACCCTGAACTGCAGGCACAGCTCTCCGTCTCGGCGGCACACCTACACAAAAATGCAATTATATTACCCCACATCTTCCATGACGTTATCAAAAAGACCAACCTTTTTTTCTTGACTGGGGCAAACCTTCAAACGGCGCCTAGCTTTTAGCTTTACCTAAAACCTCCCGGGGGCCACCATCAACACCTGTAGGGGACACCGGGTCCTAACAAAACTAACCAAATATTTGTATACTTTATCAATGGTCAAGCATTTTCCATGAAAGAAAAAAAAAATTCCAATTTCAAAAATCATATATTATCTTTAGTTTTGTTTCCATTTAGATAAGGTAATATAAAGTTCACACGATTCTTTAAAATATCTTCCGTTCCATCTACAATCATTATATAATTATTGTCTTATCGATAATTTTTGGTAAGTACTCACCGCAGCCTTCCTACTGAACCCAACAGAGTTCACATGTCGGTTTGGTCTGATCAGCTTTGTGAACAGCAAACTGGAAAGACCACCTGAGAGAGCAGTGCCAGCTACTATCTGAAATATTAAGATGAGAAGAAAATAGAACGACTTTACGAAATGAATAAATAAAAAATAAGGTGTAGAGAAAGATGGCACTGGGCCGGACACGTCAGCAGAATGCCTCCGAAAAGATGGGCCACTATTGACACCCAGGATGGAGGCCGCGGGCGAGGTAGGCCCCGGAAAAGATGGCGTAACGATCTAGGCGCCTATCCTCGAGACTGGGGGATACGGTCGAAAGATCTGGAGGTGTGGAAACGAGATGGGGAGGCCTTTGCCCAGCAGTGGGACAATAGAGGCTAGTGAAAAAAAAATAAAAAAGGAGAAAGAACAATAAGAAATGATATCACAGAGAAAGTAAAGGATATCAAAGATCTTTTTTAATTTAATATCTTTTATAATATACGACGACGGTGAGAGGAGACAATGGAAAACGATGACCGAATTTTTACTGACCCTTAAATGGAAATGGAAAGAAAAGAAGACAAAAAAAGAAAAGAAATGGAAAGAAAAGAAATGGAAAGAAAAGAAACTGGTCACGGCCAATATACCTATCCTACTGTATGCCGCTGAACAAGTTTTATCACTGGGTTGTATTATGATTATACATATATCACTTCATAGAGTAAAACAAAGTCGCTTTCTCTGTCCCTACATCCCGTATGTATGATAAAATCTTTTAAACTTCGCAACAGATTTTTTAATAGTGATTGAAGAGGAAGTTTAAATATGTATCATAACATCCATTAAATAGTGGAGAAATTTAGTATCAGCATTGCAATCGTACGAAGCCGGGCGGGACGCTAGACTTCTATGATATATATTTTCTTCGCCAATTCCATTCTACATTATCTAAAAGTTTACTGGAAGAAAATACTTAAGGCATAAGTCCTCCTGTAGTAGATAAATGATATTTTACCTCCAAAACCATAATGATGATAGCTTCAGGACATTCTTCATTCGGAAACCGAGTTCCATATCCTATGGTCATCTGTAAAGTAGTTACACAGTTTATAATAAAGAATTAAACAAACCTAAACATTCTATTTTATGTAATGTTCAAAGAAAGGCATTTTAAGATTATTTAAAAGGTGCAGACAAGGTCCAAAGGGTAGGTCACTTTCTTAGCCCATTTTTAACGTAAGCTTAAACTTCCAACAAACCTCCAAAACATAGTCATATTTTTATTTAAAATCTTGAATACTTGTATGTTTCCTCTCAGCCTTCCTCTTTTCCCGAACCCTAATCCCCTAAATCGTGTTGCATCTATACATCTAATCCATGGGCGGCACCGATTGCTTACCATCAGATAATCCATAAGACCCAAATCGCAGTTTTACCACTTAAAAAAATCGTCTTCTAAAGAACCTCTTACCTGAGTTTCAACGGACATCATGAGAAGTCCAGCGAAAGACTTGGTGCCAGTAACGCAGTGCTCCTTCCCATCGCCTATGTCTTCCTGGTAGGAGGTGGACACCGCATACCAGATGGCCGCGAAGACCAACCAGAAAATGAAGTGGGCAGCCACCATCATAAGAAGAATGAAACGCCATTTGCTGTTGATCTGATAAAGAGAGTATTTTATTTAAAAAAATTATCTGTTACTTAGTCCATTTGGAGGTCTTTGGCATAACCAGCTGATGAGCTAGAGGTTTTACATCTGATTCATGAGCTGATACTTTATATAGACCCGGAAGAACTGTCTAGTATTTTTATTTTTTCTTGTAGTGGTGTAACTGAGATTAACATTGGTAGCGTGCATAGGTTTTGGCATTGTGTTCAAAATGTTTCAGGGCTATGCGATCAAAATGCAATGACATACCATACCAAGACCATAGCTATGCGTAAGGGTTGGAACGGAGTGGTTTTTAGTCAGTAAGCCAACGTCTTGCTCACCCCGAGGTGAAAGAGTCGGTCGGAATGATTTAAACTATCGAAAAAGGTACTCATTTATAAATGACACATTATACAATTTTATATAAGATATTATTTTTATCATTTCCGATAGGCCACTACTGCCACTACCTGATAGATAGCGATGATGCGACTTACCATGGAGCACACCTACCCATAAGCAACCTATTCAATCGGGTCTTGAAGACACCTAGGTTACATATTACACTCCGGGGCGGTTCTGAATACACATATATGTATGCATCAAGTATGGAAATCACTACATAGTATAAAATAAGGTTACTATTATTGTCTCTATACCTCTATATATGCTTAAAATCTTTAAAACTACGCAACGGATTTTGATGCGGTTTTGTAATAGATAAAGTGATTATAGGGGAAAGATTTATAATATGTGTAACTAGCTACGTTCGCGCGGTTTCACCCACTGCTCGGCTCCATATAATCTTAGCGTGATGTTTTATAACCTATAGCACTCAAGAACATTGTAGCTTTCTATCAGTGAAGGAATTTTGGCAATCCGACCAGCGGTTTCAAAGATTACTACATACAAACTTACAAACATACAAATTCAAAATTTTACCTCTTTATAATTTTACTATAGATAACATCCGTCACAAAAGTGGATAAATAAAATCATTGCAGTCGTGCGAAGCCGGAGCGGGTCGCTATTTACATGTAAGTATGTAGTAACAACTCTATGGAAAGTATAAATACTCACCACAGTGGTAACAATATCCCTCATATATTTGATGGATTTAGCAGAAATGTTGCTCCTCACTGGTACATTTTCTTCTCCAGACTTAAGCACGACCCGTCTGGATCTCTTCGGTCTGCCGTGTCGCTGCCTGCCATGGAAAATACGATATAGATATCTAAAAAAGCCATGGAATATGGTCAATTAAAAATTATGTCTGAAATGAATCTGAGTGATATCACGGCCTCATAGATAACCGCCTTCAAGCTACACTTACGTTGTGTTTCACCGCGTGAGTGAAGTTACCAAAGGCCTAAGCCTTGCCCCGTCCTCACCACTCAAATTTCTTATACTTATCCAAGTATTAATATACTTACTCGTACACTTGTTGATATTTCAAGACCAAAATTAGGTCGATTTCAGGTCTTAGCGAGACTAACGAATGCAGGAATCATATTACCTTATATAGGCAAATAAAATGATTTCCTTATACATATGAGAAGATTATGATTTTTTTTCAATGGCGTTGGGTCATGACTCTTTACCATTTACTTACTTTTCGCTATTTATGGTACTATTCTCATATAGTAATAACCATTTGTGATAATTATAATGTATAATGTATGGGTATACATATATTTATATTTATTGATATATGTATATACATATATCAATAAATACATATGTATGAGCAATAATTTTGTAGCATGTGTTTTTTTTTTCCTTATTTTCATCAAGAAGATGCACCTACCACTCCTATTTCTCCACCACCCTAAGGTAGACTGGCAGAGAACGCCTAAGGCGTTAAGTCCGCCATTGTACGTTGTGCAAGAAGTGTGTGAAATAAATAAATAATTATAGGTTACTAAATCATCAGCTCATTCTGCATATCTGATATTACTGCTACATATTTATAACCATTCCATACATTTTTTCAGAATTTTAAAAAACATATACCAAGAAGAGAAAGAAGACAATGAAGTTTCTTTTTCTTTCTTCTTGATATAGATATACACATTGGAATTAACAAATAGCGCTAGAGGACAGACCGAGAGTGTGACATACACGAAGATGAACTTTTTAATATTCATTGTTTTTTGACGTTCAAAAGTGCCTATAGGTACTGGTCTATTTCAAATATTGATTTGACTTTTGATTTTGAATGCAACAATAAAATGTGTTAACGTGCAATCACGTAGGCAATTGGTACCACATCATTTAATTGTTAACAGCTGATTCAATCATTCGCAATACTTTTCCAATAACATCGTTTAATCTAAGAATACCGAAATATTTGTTATCTTATCAAAATTCATGGTTCGCCTTAAAACCGGTCGCGATATGATTCAAGGCGTTGCCCTTATTTCGGGTATCAATACCGACGGATGTCTAGTCAATAATTACTTTTCCAGTACAGGTAACATTATAAGTAAATATACACTGCGTTTTCACATTCTCGTAAAGTATTCTGAACTCAATTTTCAATTACCTAATGTTCATATTTGTTTCAAGAGCAGCAACTAGGAGTGGTGTCGAAAAATTATGTGTAAACTTAACACTAAAACTATAGCCACATAGTTCAATGCTCTAGGATTTGTATCATGATACTAAACATCATCAATTAAGGCGAAAAACTGAATATTATCATTACTTATATCTTTATCTATTGAAAATAAAAACTACTTACTTTCGAAAATAACTGAGAAAAGCTCTACTACTTTCAAGTCACAACGGGACTCTCATTCATGAACAACGCGCACATCAATAATTTTAATAAGTCTTCTGTCTTCTGATAGCTACTAAACATTCATCAATCCCAATATATTTTATCAAACCTACCTATGTGTTATTATCTTCTTCCTCCGACTGTAGGGCGTAGAATACGCATGAGCTGACGGTCCATACGTGGTCTCTCGTCCATCAAACAAACTATCCGGCGTATCTAAAGTCTCAATAGTATCAATCGTATCATATATGTGATTGGTTGTAGTAGTATCTGATGCAATAGGTAAGGTAGACTGTTCTGATAGTGGCTTCGTTACATCAGAGTCTTTTGGACTACTAGGTTTATCTTCGACATCAATAGTCATCACCAAACCATGATCTGTATGCTCATCCTCACTTGAATATATAGAAGAGTCCTGTGATGATTCTACTATGGGAATCCTCAAATGATTCTTCGAATCCACATTAGTCACAACAGAAGGAAAGGATATTTCCTTACCTTCTACATATGTTTGTGATATTCTATAGTGTTTCTTTAGTTCTTCATTAGCGTAGACATCTGTTAGGACGATATTGTTAGGGATCTCGATTGATGATCTACCAGAGCCATTACCTATAGCTTCGGAATAGCTTAGAGATCTTTCCAAAGCCCTATTTCGACTGCCTCGTCTAGATTCTCCTTGATCGTAGTTCATTTTCTCTGATCTCGGTGTACTATTTATCTTAAAGATCAAATTTCACACACTGAATTCTTCGGTGTTATTTAAGACACTGCATCTTGATTTGCAATATTTGCATTTATTATTTTATCATCGAAAAATTTTTCTGCGCTTAAAATTTCACTGTATAATGTTCTATCAGACAAAACAAATAAACACAAATATTGGCTATCACTTATTCGTATTATTTCATTTTCATTATCAATTCTCCTTAATATATGTAGCTTGTATCTTTAAATATATTCTCCAACCTTTAGAAAAGCACTGTTTACTGATGTCACTACACTTTTAGCCCGTGTAATAAATTTAAAACTTTAATTGCACCAAAATATTGACAAGATTTTCTGTCCCACACTAGTACTGCACAAGACAGAGCTCTCGTGCTCTGTATTGTTATCTTTGAAGATAAGGCACCTTTATCCAAAGATAAGAAACAAATATATTTGTACTATAATATACTTGTTTTGAACTAATTGTGGCCTAGAAAATTTATGGAGCGTTGACTTGAAATTCATTGAGATTGTAGCTTGAGTGTTGGTAAATAAACTAGATTTTCGTTATGTTGATGTAAACATAACATTATAGGTTCGCTTATTAGATATTTTATACTTTACTCTCCACAATTTAATAGCTATGTAATAAATAGTAGAGAGATTTGTATAATCGCACCGCAGAAATTTTGTATCATCGCTAGTAAAGTACACAAAACCTTCCTCTTTATTATGGTCTGTCTATTAAAAAAAACACATCATAACCTGTTTCGTATTTTTAAAGATTTAAGCATACATAGGGATATAGGGGCAGGGAAGGTGGATTGAATTTAGACTACTTATGTAGTGATTTAGAGTGGAGTTTCCTGATAAACTTAAGACAGCAAGTTACAAATTCATGCATTCTGCAGAGTGCTACAAAAGTTAATATTGATTGGGGTACACTGAAATTTTTAAATTAGTTTAATATATATTCCATGCTGCGTTTGAAAATCGAAGCTGTTTATTTTTACTGTCTTTTTTTAGGTCTCATATGTAGTCTATTTGGTATGCATCTCTAATAAAGGATAGTTCAAAACACAGTTTGGTCTCATAAAAATATATTTACTAAACTTCGACACATCATACATCTCTATATTATACTGATACAATACATTCCTAAAATTAACACTTACTCGCAGTATCAAAATATTACAATTTTGAACACTTATTTTCAAAACGATATTTATAATTTTCATCTTCTTCTTCATCATCGTTTATTTCTTCTTGTATTCCCTTCTTATAATTAATACTCTTATCACGTGCTTCAAAAGCAACTAGGTTAGTTTTCCTATTTGATTAATAATTTCATAAAACTAATAATCTCTTTATAATATACGGCCTAAATGACTCTCTTCTTGGTATTGGAACACATTAAATTATTTCTGAACCGACACAACCTTCAAAGTTCAAGGAAACTGCACTTCTTCTTCTAATGCATTTTTGACTTTTCTTGTTTTCCTCATGGGCGGGCCCAATTGCTTGCCATCAGGTATAACGTCTAGGTACTCGTTTCCCTATGACTATGAATATACTAGACTACGTAGGGACAACATTTAATGAAATATTTACATCTGCATAGATGTTGAGTTCTTTAATTATATTGTATCTAAATATTTTAGGAAATTGTGAAATGTAAATTGTAAAGAAAGAGTTCATAAAGATAAAAGAAGAAAGGGTTGAATTTTGTAGGAAATGGTATGAAAAAGAAGAAGTGATGTCTGATAGTGAAGGATGGAAAGAAGAAAGATAAAAAAGCTGTTCAAAAACCGGTTCAGTACATCAAGAATTAATTTACATACAGACAAACGCGAACAGGAAACTTTTATAAGAAAAGGATCTGTTAACTTTTATTATTCTTATTCTGCCTGAAAGACGAGGAGCGCGCTAGTTGGAAACTGGAAACCTTCTCGCTGAAGTTGCTCGGTGTGCCAGGAGTAGGAGGTGGTTCCTTTATTGGTGTAGGACTGAAAAGAGAGAAAATTATCAGTGAATTTTAAGTACACAATAAACACACGGTCTAGTTAAAGTTTTGAACGTTAGTTACGAAAAGTCATTTTGATTTCTCAAAAGATAATTGATTCATTTTTATATATGTAGATTGCAGTATAAGATAAAAGTCGTTGTGGCTAAGAGGGTAAGGCACTCGCTTCGCATACAAGAGGGTTCGAAACATGCCAAACACCTACCAATTAAACTTGTTCCGAGTTATATGAACTTTTTATGTATTATTTTAGGAAACCATCGTGAGGAGACTTGAACTTAGATAATTTGTAATTCTAAGTTTGAAATCGCCAATCTGCCTTGAGCAAGCGTGGAGATTAATGCTCAAACCTTCTCAGTGTGAGAACAGACCTTTGCTCAGTAGTGTGCAAAATATACCTACTGATGATGTGGGATGTGTGAGATTGTGTTGATAAAGTTTAAAATAATAAAGAAGGCTTGTTTTTTTACATTGAAATTGCCAATTGTTGTTAACCATAAAATTTAATAAACAACATCGTATTTAGGTGGAAAAAATAAAGCAGCCCTAAACATTCTATTCAGCTAGCTATGTCTTGAAAAACTTACGTGCGATAAATATCCCTGGCGCAGGAGTGCGGAGTGTCGACGGGCTCCAGGAGGTCCAGCTTCTTGTGATCGATGACGTACTTCTGCTTGTGACTGTCATACCTGCAAACTCTTTACGTATACTCTTCACGAATTCTGAGAGCCTGGTACGTGTTACTGCCAGGTTTTTAGTAATTTTTTTGATAGGTTGGCAAACGAGCAGACGAGTTACCTAATAGTAAGAAATCGACGCCACTCATGGATATCAGTAACACCAGAGGCGTCACGAGTACGTTGCCAGTCTTAAGGATTTTGGCGATTTAGGTTTTGACGAGCGGAAGACGGATTGGGACGGATTGGGTAATATCGGTAGTCATTTGTTTGGGGAGGCTTAAAAGATAGTATTTTGTAGTGAAAGTTTTTGTCTAAATGGTGGTTGTGTGGTTGGTAGAGATAACAGTGGCTTAAAACCAATCGACAAGCTATTCATGTTAATTATGAAAAAGATTGATGAGCTTTTAAATTGAGAAATAAATGTTTACTTTAAAAATACTTAATGGATATAAAATAAGGATAACGACGATTCAGTAGAAGAACCATAACAGAAGCAAGGAAAGTTAGCAAGAAGAAATATAATAAAAAATGCCAAATAATTAATACTTGATGGAGGGCATGAATTAGATGATGGTGAATCCAATCTTATTGACACTCTACTCACTTCACGACAGGAGGGAACCTGTAGCCCCACACAACCTCTTTTGGCAGGTAAGAGGTCTGGCTCTGAGTAAACGTTCCCATTGATGCTGAGGCACCTTTCAGACTGACTGTGATCTCGTAGCTGAGAAAAAAAGAAATAAAAAAAAAGAAAAATTGGTAAAAGAAATTAATTATATCATCGAGTGAGAAACAAGAGATGTGTGATTTCAGAAGCCTCATAAACCTAATGTCTGGTTCCACCAAAAAAGTCAAGCCTTTATTGGACTGTGCATAAAATGACTGGTTATAATTACCGCAATTGTCAGAAAAGATCCCAGTTCAGAAGATTTTTTCTCCCTGGTCAAGATCAGTACTATGTTATCAATCTACTTCTAAAAATAATTTTCAATTGAATTGGAAAAAAATAATGTAATTTCTTTATTTGATAGATGGTAGATGCAAGAGTTAATTTTCAATACTATAAAAAATACTTATTATACCTATTATGGGCAATGAGTTCGGGTGTGTATCCAAACAAAGGGCTGGTCTCGTCAATCACGTGCACCAACGTCACTGGCCAGAGGAGGAATTGACGCTGCTGTAGGGTGAGACAGCGCGCGTAGTACCGGATCACTTCGCCTTCCTTCGTTCTGGAACAGCAATGAATACCGTTTTACAAAAAAAATCTGTTGGTGAATTACATGTTGGATAATACTTTACTAGACTACGAGATGTGGTTCGGTTTTCTGTTCAGAAAAATAATTATCTGTTACCAATGTTTCACTCAATCTTACATAGTAAGGAAATAAGAGGAATTAATGGTAGCTAGTTTACACAAATAAAAAAATTACAAGGTCATTTACGGTTACTTTGTATATATCACTGTAAGCACTATAGTTTTCAGAAATAAAAAAAATCACAAGGTCATTTACGGTTACAATATATATATATATATATATCACTGTAAGCACTAACCTGCAGTCATAACTATTGCCATGACTTTTTCGTTTCACTAGCGCCTTTTAAAATTACGTTACATTTAAATAGGTACCACACACCTGTAGGTATTGACAAAATGAGCAGTGAACTCGGAGCTGATGATGTGATCGTAGTTGAGGTCCCATGCTCTAATCATCAGGCACAGTCGGCCATCTCGCATGCTTATCTGCAAGATGATTATCATTAGGATTATTGTTATACATGTATTTATTTGCTATTTGGAATATTTAGTGCTATTTCTTAGTGATAATCGTAAAAATAAATTTATTATATGACTTACCACAGCCTTTTTGCTAAAACCAACACCATCTCTGGAGAGTTTCTCGGGCCTAGTCAGCTTAGCGTACACGACACAAGTCAGGACTCCTGATAGACCAGTACCCAGAATTAACTGCAATATTTTAAGAAAGTAATTAATCACGTAACCAATAAAATAAGTATGCAGGTACTTAGGTAAATGTACCAAATACAGTACCAGTAATAAACAGTTATTATTGCAACTACTAACGCCATCTCTTTGACAAGTTCCAAACGAATTAGGAAAGGTGTTATGACTTTTTAACTAGATGGCGTTGCGTGTGACGAAATTTTACCTCAATTTATTTACAGCTGTTAATTACACGATTTCTATTATTTAAATGACACTGAACGATCGTCGTTGTAGTCAACATTAGTATTTATATGTAGGTTTATTCTGTAATGTGGGCATTATCCATTGTTTAGTTACTGAACAGGGAAATACCCAGTGTGAATGTTAGAAGCGCATGCATAGAACGTTTTATACGTGGTAACTTCATCTTAACAATGAGATGAATTGTGTTTTGAATTTGGCTAAATAACATTGTTAATAATTTTTTTCTTTTGTTTTTAAGTGCCACATAAAGATTTCTTACCTGCATGATGAATAGGAATATGGATTCTGGACATTCTTCATCTATAGCACGGTCCCCGAAACCAATCGTTGTCTGAAAACAAAACATTCAAATGCATCATCAATTCGATCCTTATCAATGACTTTTTATCTATCACCCATAAACACTCGCAATCCCAAAGAAGCTACTTCAAGTGGTTTGCCGTCTTCTCTTGTTTTATTAGGGATTTAAGTGGAGAGTTGGATTGTGCCTCCGATTACCTCACTCGGCGAAACCCAACGTAAGTTGTTTCACGCCGGTATTCTGTGAGGCCGTGGTATCACTCCGGTCGAGCCGACCCATTTGTGCCGAAGCATGGCTCTCCCACATCTTCTCTACTACTACTTCAGTCACATTACATCGTAGTTCGTCTGTTGATTCACATGCCGTAAAATTTGACATCAAACGGAAACTCATCCTGGTATTCTCATTACTATTTTGGTAAAACCGAGATTAACCAATCTACCTGTCGTTTTAAGAACAATGGCGCTCCCAATTTCCAAGAGCTGTGCTTCCAGTAAAGCAGGATGTTGAGCTCAATAGTCCTTGATTGCCACAATTCTGTCTTTGGCGGCAACAGCGTAATATTGGGCTAATTCAATTACGTCCGTGTCAATTATCGTGTTTGGTGCACGGAAACTTGAGGTTTGATCGGAAATTGTGTTTTTGTGTGGAATTTGCCGAATTATAGTTTGAACGCTTTGTTGTTTATTCTTATCTTCGACCTAAGCTTTTGTTTTTCGTAGTTATTTTTTTTATCTTAAGGTAAGTTTCCGTACTTCTGAATAATATGTTGTGTATTTCAATTTCCTTTGTTTTTTTATTGTTGTTTATGAAAGCGTGACCAGTATTTTCAAATGTGTTTGACTTATTTAACTAACGTCCTACAAATCAGTCACAAACATGGAACAATTTGGCTATCAAAATAATTTGAGCCACGTCTAAGCAAACGTAGTCCTAGTTCAACTGATGATATTCGGAAGGTGGCAATGATTGGATGAGAAGAGCTGAACCTCGAGCGTAGTGGCGTGGAATTGGAGACGCCTATACCTAGCATTGGACGAAAACAGGCTGATGAAGAATAAGATTTTATTAACATTGATTATGCTTGGCACCCAGTTGCTAAGCCACTGCGCCAACTGAACAGTGCAATACTACGAATAATATAAAGATCAACTAAGAAACTACCAAAATTGACTGCACGGTTGGCGCGGCTGGGCAACTGGCTACTGCACAACGTGTCACAGATTTGATTTCCGCACGGAACAACTGAAATTGTACGTAGGTATGTAAACTCAACCAAGAAACAGGAGACAGCAACATACAAAAACTGTAAGGTATCACAAGTAAATATAGATAACTCTCAAGAAAATACATATACCCAACAGCGAAAGCGAATTATTCTCAGAAATGTACAATGTACATTCACGTTTATTAAATTTAGTTCAGATGGGAATTCATGTGTGTACTCGTGTGCTGTTTCTATTTATGGCCAACCAGTAACACCTTGAGACAATTGTATGCCTTCCTCATTTGGTGTTATTTCGTCCACGGGAACTAACGCTAATGATGAATCTATTTGTGCGTGATTGCTCGGTAAGCTGTTAGCGCCCACGTTCGCGTGAAATGGGACGGATGGCACTGGTAACTGAACTTATGGATAGATAGAATAATTTATGGATCCTAAAACAATTTTGATCATGTCATAGTTACACGTTACACTGATACGCTTTTGGGCAGTCGTTTTTATTTTAGAAAATCATCGTAGTACTCTCGTTTAATATTGTTTGTCTTTCAAAAAATCTTTTGCCATTACAAGGCTTTGGAGGGAGAGAATCTTTTATTTCCCAATATTGTCAGTACACCTATAAAATATTGTAGTCTCTTACGATCACGGTGCATCTAATTGCCGGACTTAGGAAACTAGCTAACGTAAGTAAGCAATCGGCGCCGCCCATGGACACATTCAACACCAAAAGAGTTACGAGCGCGTTGCCATCCTTTTGGGGGTTAAGGATTGGACCTCCCCTCTTAAGGGTAACCTCATTCGCACGGTGAAACAAACAACACTGAGGTTCTTTCAGATCTTGTGCTCAGAAGCTTGGCTCTTCCACATTTTAGAACGATTTTTTTGTAAACATCACGGCAAAAAGAAAATTGTTTACAATATTTTAGCCCCAAATAATTTAACGATACCAACACGTGCGTGCACGTTTCGACGGATGCGTTTTGTTGAGTAATCTGAACAAAATCGCACAGAATTTGACTACAATAGCCATATTTGCAGTACACGTGAGGGACGGATTGACAATAGGCATGTCCTCTATATTTTCACGTGCTGCTAGTGCATTGACTCTTTTGGAGGTCAAAGTACGAAGTGCCAATATGTAAGTTAGGATGACTACCATGTGTGTATTTGCTTAGAATGTTGTCTAAGAAATAACTTTTTTTTTCTTAAAAGACATTGCCCCACTTTAGAATTTTCTCCTGTGTTGTGGGTGCGTTTACAAACATAAAATGTCATATACACATGACTCCCAGACCCGTAACACACTTTGTGTGATCAAAGTGTTGTTCCGTGCGGAAATCGCACCCGCGACACGTTGTACGGCAGCCAGTTGCCCAGCCACCGCACCAATCGTGCAGTCTAAATCGTAACACAAAACGGGTGCAATACATGTGGGCGAATTTGCTGAGTACCTATTCAACCCCTTTTCTGTGTCTATTCATCCCTCAAATTCTAGTCACGCTTGTCACCGTCTTCCCGGTTCTGTTGTATTGATGTCGCAGGAATAACATTATTTTTTTGAATGTTCCTTAACAGGTCGGCCGGCAGCGGATTTATAACATATCTGGGGTTGCGGATGTCCATTGGTGATATCAATTAGATTAATAAATCAGGTACCGCCCTATCCTATTAAAAAGCTAGTGGTACAGCTTTTATCTCTCTCCGATGAATTAATGTTATATTAAGGTAACGTTGTCATTTGATCAGTATTCCAAATTCACAATTTAACAATTTTATAATAGAGAATTAACATCGTTTATTGTCTGTAGGCATGTTAAAAATTTTTAAAAATACAATTCAACTAAACTAGGTATCGACAAAATATGTGAAGTATCTTTGATTTTGAGTAAGTGAGTAGTGTGAGTAAGTGTGGGAGAGCCATGCTTCGGCACGAATGGGTCGGCTCGACCGGAGTGATACCACGGCCTCACAGAAAACCGGCGTGAAACAAGCACAGGGTTGTGTTTCGCCGTGTGAGTGAGGTTACCGGAGGCCCAATCCTTCCCCTGCCCAGATCCCTCCCAAAACCCTAATCCCTAAGAGGTCGGTAACGCACTCGTAACTCCTCCGTTGCGGGTGTCCATGGGCGGCGCTGATTGCTTACCATCAGGTAATCCGTCTGCTTGTTTGCCTAATAGACTTTGATTACCCTCAACATATCTAATGTCCGTCCATTTCAATTTCTATTTTAACATTTACCTATAAGCACTACTTTATGCCTATATTTTAATTTACTACGCGAACAGGACTGTGTAGATTTTCTTCCATATCTCTTAAATCTGCTACCATGTCTCCGGCCCTTAATACGATTTAAGCCAAGTATTTCTCGTAGGCGACTCGACTAAATCCTCGCTAATGCAATAAATGGCAATCTCAACTAATGTGTCTGTCTGTCTGTCTGTCCGTCACTTTAGAATGAGGGTAATTGTTTGTGTCACTTGTACTGTAGTTATTTGGTCCTTCACTTGGATTTATTGCTTGATAGGATTAATGTATGTGAAACGCACAGCTTCTGTTTTGTTCAGTGTATAAGAAGAAATTGCTGCATAATTATTGAGCCTTATCACATCATCGTCAACATCATCATTATCATAAACACCAATAGTTCTTTATACTCAAGTTTGAATCTGCCCTCCATAAAAATCTTCTTATCAAGCTAGCTGGGACCCAAGTCTACTATTTTCAAAGTGTTGTCATTCTTACACGATTCCATTGTCATTTTGCTAAAAGTTCGTAATCTGTTAATTCAAAATGGTTGATCATTGGCGTTCGGCGATGTCGTAATAGAATTAGGTATAGTATGAGATGTCTTGTAACGAATTCTAAACAATAACTGCACATTGATATTCTAAACGTAGGTAAATCATTGAATAAAGGAACTGACATTTTTATTAATTTACCGCATTATGTCAAATATTCATTTGTCATTATGTACGAGATTACCGTTCTAAAGAATTATTTCAATGAAATGGCATTGGAAAGTCATAATGACGCTATCGTGTTAGTAAGTTACCAAAACTTGTCAAAATCAACAATTTTGAAACCAATGATCTACTATTCTGACACTATTGTAATAGCAGACTCGAGGCCCTGGCTGTTTGCCGACCAATCATATAAAAAAACAAAAATATGGTTTTCTTATATTGTGTTTAAAAAAACATTCTAATTAAATGGTTCCATAAATTAAGTTCTGCTTCAGACGGAAACCCCGACTTAAAAAGAGATAGTCTTGAATGACGAATTTTATCTTAATCAGCGACGCCGGTTTTCATTATATTAATAAAACTTAACGAAGTCTGACAAAAAAAAAACTTGCAAGAAAAAATTTTGGTAGGTAAAGTAGACTAGTATCTACTATACCTACCAAATACTTCTTCATTATAATCATCATCATCATCATCGTCATCATCATCATCATCATAGTGTATCTTACCTAATCGATCTTTTGGTACTATCTAACCCAATCACTCCAGCCTGTAATTTTTGGATGTGATGATGATGATGATGATCTCTTGTCTTCATTGGCGAAATACCACACTATGGTTGTTTCAAGCTGGTTTTCTGTGGGCCCCTAAATTATAAGAAGAAGAAAATTGTTTCTCACCTGTGCTTCAACGGAAGCCAAGAATATAGTCACGAAGTCTTTCCCTCCAGTCACGCAGGTCTTCTTGGGAGCGTCTGGCTCGAAGTCGTAGTGAGCCAGGGCGGTGATGTACCAGAATACTGCGAACACCAGCCATATTGCGAAGTGGACCACTATTGTACCGATGACGATCCAACGCCAGCGCAAATTGATCTGTAAGGAAAGGTGTTAGAGAGTTTTTTTCGGTCGGCAAACGAGCAGGCGGTGGACCTGATGGTAAGCAATCAGCGCTGCCCATCTACACCCATAATAACGGAGGAATTATAAGTCTGTTGCCGATCTTCTGGGGATTAGGGATTTGGAGATTTTGAGATTGGGGAGGGGAAGGAGAAGGATTATACCTCCGGTAACCTCACACGATGACACACAACGACAGCGACACATTCGTGCCGATGTATGGCTCTCAGGCACTTATAGTATGTATCTTGGTGCTTTGGTGATATCTACATATTTTAAGAGTATTATTTATGTAGAAATCTTTCCTAAGACTTGTCCAAAATTATTTACTTATTCTAGGATGGGATACTTCTTTTTTTCTTAAGTCGATTTGTAAATAAGTAGGTACTTTGGTAATGTTCAGCTCGATTTTCTATGAGCTTCATGATATGATATGATGTAACTATAATTTTATGTCATTCGTAATATTATAAGGATAACATAAAACAAACTATTCTTGTCAAATACTGCCCACAACTTAACTTCATGTAGCTTGGAAAAATTATAAACTAATTTCAGATTGGTACGGACAGAAAATACGAAATCAAATAAAATCAAATACGAAAATACCAAATTAATAATTTCAAAATTAATTTAAATTCGCCAAACCCCATGTGAACATATTACTACGATTCTATGAGTACTTACCAAAGTATGAAAAGTATCATTCAGCAGTCGTATCTTCTCGAATGGCACATTGGATATGAGAGCTATATTCTCCATGCCAGTCTTGGAGACCAGGCGCTTGGGGTGGTCCCCATACCCCGGCCGAGTGCGTTGCGGATGCCTGAAGTCACTGCAAAACATACACCATTTCACTAGCTACACTTAGGTCCAGCAGTGTGATTCTGTAAGACTTCATTTTAAACTTCGAATCTGAATCCGCCGTGAGTAGTAGTACACTAGCGCTACACTTGCGAGTTGAACTAAATTGACAGCAACATTTTGAAAGATAAAGTATGAAATGACGTTAAAAGTGGCATTCTAAAATTTAATTTACCCGTCACTTCAACGCTCACTTCGCAATCGAACACGATTCAAACTCAAACAAATTTTATAGTATCGACGTGCAGTTGATAACTTTTGTGAAATGTTGATGACTTTTCTTGGTTCATCAAAGTATAACTCAACCAGAAAATATTTATGGGTTTCTCTAAGATTATATAATAGCACTGTGATTCACTATCTCTATATATATATATATACAAGTCAATGCTGACAAAAATATTTCCTTGCCATTTTGAAGAATGAATATGCGTTGTAAGTTTTTTGTAAACTACATTCCGCCAGAGGCTTTGCCCGCGTGATATGTACAAAGTCAAAGTCAAAATCATTTAATTAAAATACACTACAGTATGCACTTTTGAACGTCAAGAATCAAAGTGTGAAGAAGAGTGTAGATAAAAAATCCTATGTGTTAGTCCAGGGTATCACCGATCTACATACCAAATCGGTCCAACCGGTTTCTCGGTCACTTATATCCATACATAATTTAAGTGTGGGAGAGCCAAGCTTCGGCACGAATTGGTCGGCTCGACCGGAGTGATACCACGGCCTCACAGAATACCGACGTGAAACACAACACTGGGTGTGTTGTGTTTCGCCGTGTGAGTGAGGTTACTGGAGGCCCAATTCCTTCCCTTCCCCTATCCCTTTCCAATCCTTATATCCGCAACCCCTATCCCCAACCGGCCGGTAACTCTTTTGGTGTTGCGGGTGTCCATAGGCGGCGCTGATTGCTTATCATCAGGTAATCCGTCTGCTCGTTTGCCGACTTATACCATAAAAAAAAAAAAATACATACTCACAAATTTTCACATTTGCAATACTTAATAGTAGTATAGTAGGATTCCTTTACTAGTAGGTACTTGTAAAATATGGCCTTAAAGATCATTAGATTAGCGTTTAAATTTAGCCGCAGTAGTGACATCGACCTTAACATCAATCTGACATAATCCTCGCTACATTCTCGTCAGATAAGCTACGCAAACAGGTGGGCTTGAAGAAACATTCGCTAAATAGTGGAATTTCTTTTACAGACACTATAAGTTACTTTGTTTTTAAGGTTCTTTAATGTTTTATTAGAAAATAAACCTTATTATAATATTTTTGAAGCTGTAGAGTGCTTTGGTGGCCCGGAGGTTAAGGTGCCCGCTTCTCATGCGTAAGGGAAACCTGGCAAGTTACCAATGCGACTTTCATGTCCGAGTCATGTGTACTTTCTATAATTATTTAGACACCACTGACTTACGATGAAGGAAAACATCGTGACGAAATGGACTTACATATGATTTCTAATTATGAGTTTGAAATCGCCAATCCGCCTTGACCAAGCGTTGTGATTAATGATCAAGCTTTCTCCGAGTGAGAAGAGGCCTTTGCTTAGCACTAGGCATTTATAGGCTGATGATGTGATGTAATCCTGCAGTCTAGTGTTTTTATGGTAAAGGTCGGCAAACGCAGACGAAAGAACTGACGAATTACCTGATGGTAAGCAATCAGTACCGCCCATGCATATACCCGTAATAAGTACTAAAGGAGTTATGAGGGCGTTGCCGGCCTTTTAGGGATAACGTTTTTGGATATTTAGTGATTGGGAAGGGATGGGGGGAGGGGACGGATTGGGCCTCCGGTAACGTTCTTCTGAATATTGTCTAAAATTTGATTCATCAAATCAAATCAAATCGTTTTATTTATTGAACAAAGGTGAAGTAAAGAATAACCAGAGCCGTTAATTATTAAAGTCATACAGATATCTTTGTTCTACGTAATAAGTGCACAAATATGTATTAGTGAACCGCACTCTAGTATTTAAACTTCTGGCACAATGTGTAGGGGCTTTTTTTGAGTGGGGAAAGCAAAACATTGTCAAATTTTCACTGACTAAAAACCACCCATTTCCTTCTCTCGCTCCAGGCCGGAGATGCTAAAATTGTTGTTTCCGGATAAACTTAAACTTCAATACTTACATAATATAGTAAATGCTTCTTGTGAATGTTTCCTTTTCCGATCTTTATTCCTTTATTACATAATAATATATAGGTAAATATTTTCTTGCAAATGTAATACATTTGTTCGGGTATCTAACAAGGAAGCAATACCCTTTAACGTGAGACACTTTTAATAACAAAGTTACTCTTCAGTAATTCCAAAGTTAAAAACATTATAATGCAACCTTACTACACCTGAACATCCAAGACTATGAACTATCAAATCAGATACCACATCATCAGCTTATAAGTGCCCACTGCTGAGCAAAGGCCTCTTTTCACACGGAGAAGGTTCAAGCATTAAACCACAACACTTTCCCAAGGCGGATTGAAGATTTCAAACTAATAATTAGAAATTATAAGTCCAGGTTTCCTCACGATGTTTTCCTTCACCGTATGTCAGTGGTGTCTAAATAATCATAGAAAGTACATATAACTCGGCAAAAGTCACATTAGTACTTTCCATGTTACGAACCTTCATGTATGAGAAGCAGGCGCCTTAACCTCCAGGCTACTACAACTACATCAGGTAGATTATCAACTACCATATCAACCGGCGTAAAACAACTCACAGTGTTGTGTTTCGCCGTGTGAGTGAGGTTACCGGAGGCCCAATCCCTTCCCTTCCCCTATCCCTTCCCGATCCTTATATCCGCAACCCCTATCCCCAACAGGCCGGCAACGTACTCGTAACTCCTTTGGTGTTGCGGGTGTATGGGCGGCGCCGATTGCTTACCATCAGGTAATCCGTCTGCTCGTTTGCCGACTTATACCATGAAAAAGCAATACTCTGAAACTATGCAAATTGAGATAACTTCAGTAAAATTGAAAAATCTCTTCAACGTCATGTACCTAATGTATATTTTCCAAAGTGCGTCACTTGCGAACATGGCAGTGTAAACATATTATATTCACAATCTGCCATTATTTGTACTAGATAATTAGCTTATAATATACTATATACCTATATATACATATAGTTAATACTTTAATAACATAAGTTCACTCATATTTCTAGAGGATTCTTAATTATGGAACACGTAGACAATGTTGTTTTGAGACTCCTGTGGGAAGTCAAGCCAAATGGCGATCTGTAAATTGGTTCATTCTTTTTTGTAAGAACTTACTTACCCTGCCCTATCTTTGCACGGTTGCAATACTGATACTAAATTTCTTTACCATTCAATTGATGTTTTTATACTTATAAAACCCTATCAAAATGCATTAGATGCGTTTACAAACACACAATTTGATAAAGACACACAAAGATTTTCTCTGTGCGGGAATTGATCGTCGATCGTCGATCGTCGGAAATCGATCGTCGTGTAGTCAGTGCAGAGATAGTGTATGCACATAATTTTTCGAGTCATCTTATCTTTTTCTTATTATTTATAACTAGATACCGCCCCGGCTTCGCACGGGTGCAATGCTGATACTAAATTTCTTAACTATTTAATTAATGTAAAAATTATACATTATAAATCTTCCTCTTCAATCACTCTATCAAATAAAAACTGCATTAAAATCCGTTGCGTAGTCTTTAAGAATTTAGCATACATAAAGATATAGGGACAGAGAAAGCGACTTTGTTTTATACCTACTATGTGTGTAAACTATCCAATAAATGCCTGCTATCACTTACATTATAATTTATTTTTACCTACAAAACAAATTTTTCTGTCAATCAAATAGGGAGCACGTTTATACTGATTTAAAAAGAGTAACCATGGAGTTTCTTGCTTGTTGTTCTCTTGTTGAACGAGCTAATAGCTTCACTAAGAGGTCTGACCGACAAACTAACTCTTATTACCTTTATGCTTTGTTTGGCGTTTGAAAATGCCTGTAAGGATCTAATTGAAATAAATGATTTTGACTTTGACTTTGACCTTGGCTTTGAATTTGACTTTGACTTTTAGGCTGGTGATAATGATGATGATTGACTTACCTGTGAGGCAGTGCCTTTTTCTTCTCACTGGGTACATGGTTATAAGGTTTCATGGATTTTGGCATTCTCCGATCCATACTTGACATGCTGTCACGGTCTTTCAAACCTCCATCAAGATTCTTTGCATTCTGATGGTGGTGGTTTATAACGGGCATACTGTAATCCGGTCGTGGTGAATGTCTATCAATCTTAGGCAAAACGCGATCACTTTTCGACAATTCCCCACGTAAATTCTTTTTTATTTCATCTTTTTTGTAATTAAGACTTGTTGTGCTTTGTGTAATTATTATTTTCGGTAGCTGCTTCGATAGTTTTCGAAGTCTTTCTGACCGTGGTTCTGAGATTACGGATTCTAGACTCTCCATAGATTTTTCATTCTCAAGTTTAAAAACAGTTTTTGCTTCAATAGTGTCGTTATGTTGTTCTTCTTTCTGGTGCTCTTCTTTTTGGTCTTTTATTGTCTCGTAGTCCGGGTCTTCTATTGAAGCTCTGTGCGCTTCCACGAAATGTTTATTTTCTTTCAAATAATTGAGACATTCGTCGTAAAGTTGATTTATTTGTTCGTATTCGGAATTTCTTTTCGTTTCCACTTCCATGTTTATTGAATTTAGGCAATTATTTCTAAAATTGTTATTGTGTAGATATTAATTTAGAAAAACGTCACAAAAAACCGTTTATAACATCAATAAAATAATTACTATAATAATAATCCCACATTTTTATTACACTTAAAATTAAAAAGTCACTTAAAAAAAGGACTCAATCAACGCACTTAAAATTAAAAAGTGAGGAAAGCACTTTCGCGTATTTTTTTGCAGTGAATCTGTATGATTTGGTGAGACGATGTCCTGAAAGCGTTATCTCGACTGTTATCGCGTTATCTTGTGTTAATTGTGATGCGCGCTCTAAGCACAAGATCCGTAGTGACCTTGTTCAGAGAGCACGAGGGCTATTCTGCAACGAATTCTTTACGAAAATGTTACTTGTACTCTTTTCCTGTAATTTTTTTCATTAGATTTTTACTACTATACTGTAACAATATTAAGTTCAAATTACTTTTCTCCAATTATGTCTGTACCAATCAAAACAATAAAGTTTAAAATGTAATAAAAAGAATATCAGAAAGATATTGGTAGATCTGCTAGAAATTTGCATAGGTTGTTTTTATTTTATGGTAGAATTTATTTGTGTGTGTATTTTAGCTATTGCTCGAAACGATGGAACTATGTATGTCTAGGGCTGGTTAAGATCCAGACGCAATTATATTTTAAAATGTCAGTGTTCTAAATTAACTATATCTTTCTTAGAATGGAATGAATTAATTCTTATATAAAAAAGGTCTTTTTTTATCACATCATCGTTTATGACTTTCAGTTTTGGTTGAAGCCAAAGTATATTCATTTACGCCTTTTTGTGTAGGGAAAATCATTATAAATTACTCTTTTGGAGGGAGTGACTAAAATCTCCCCGTTCCTTCTCCTGTTCCAGGCTGAGGTCGCAGTACCTTATTGCGCTTGCCAAGTAACCTCGAGGTTTTTTTAAAAAAAAAGTTTTGCCCCACTTTAGAATTTCCTCCTGTGTTGTGGGTGCGTTTACAAACATACAATTTCACTTACACAACGCACCCAGACCCGGAACAACAATTTGTGGATCACACCAAGTGTTGTTCTGTGCGGCAATCGAACCCGCGACACGTTGCACAGCAGCCAGTTGCCCAGCCAACGCGCCAACCGTGTAGTCAAATCTATACATTTAATAGGATTATAGTCTGTATGTCAGTGAACCTAGGTGCACTTTCCATTGTGTAGATTTAAATGGAGAAGAACGAGAAAGAAACTTCATTCTACCTCTTTAAAAAAACGGAAATACGTGAAAAATATTATAATTTATTTGTTTATTTAGTACCAATGTTTAGTCACTCTGTCGCTCCCAATTATCACCAACTCACATGACAAACTATTTAACAAAATTAGCACTTAAAATAATTCAGACAAGGTACAGGTTAGCTATAATTCTGTCGTATTAACACCAAGGGTATTGTGATACGATGTTTCAGTAATTCAGTGTTTATTTTTGAGGTCATAGCTTCGATTTTTCATTAGCAAGACTTTTTCCTACAGTGAGGTCTGAATGACTGGAGGTTTATTTACCTTTGGACAACTTTAACAATTAATTGTAAGAATTGGTCAACTTTATCTCGTTGGTGGAGTATGTGCGAATGCTAATGCTGAACTTGGGATTTCTGGCTAGATTGTCTGACTGTACATTTTTTTCGAAAATTTTTTGGACTTTGATGAAAATTGGCGTCTTGTCCGGGTCACGCGGCCGAAGCCACAGCCGTTGAGCGTGGGAGAGGCGTGTTTTGGCACAAATAGATTGGATCAAAGTAGCACGGCCTCACAGAAAACCAGCGTGAAACAACAACAGGATTGTGTTTCGCTGTGTGAGTGGAGGAGATTTCCGTAGGCCCAATCCTTATCCTCCCCCAATCCTACCTCAATTACAAATCTCCGGAACTCTTATCCCCAAAAGGCTAACAACATACTTGTAACTCCTCATATTATGGTTGGTCATGAGAAGTGGGCGCCTTAACCTTGGGACTACCACAACAATTATAGTCAAAAACCTAACATCCGACAATTTTACTTAAGTCCTGTGATAATTTTTGAGTATCCTCCATCCATCCTAGCGTTGCAGAATAGCCCAATACGGCAACAATACAAGAACCGGCTAAATTCAGAATGCGACGTACATATATACCTACAACAATAATATATATACAGACAGATAAACAAACAAGTGTATTTATCATTAGTTAACTGTTTAACATAACTTTGGTGTGTTTGATGTATTTTGTCACAGTATTATGTGGTGTTATGAATTTGGAGATTTATTGTGATAACAGCACATCCCACTTTGTTCGAAATGTAAGTAAGTATAGGTGCGCAGTTTTCAAATTTTTCCTGTAGATAAATAGTGTATTTTGAAGCTTGATATCTATACTAATATTATAAAGAGACAGTCATTTTTTGCGCTCAGCCCAAGCAGGGCACCCTGCCACCGTATGGTCCACCGTGTCCTCCACACCACCGGGTCCTAAAAAATCGATCTACAGTTGGCATGATAACAGTGGACGGGCATAATAAATAAAATAGACAATATTTATAGGCATTAACTTTATTACTGCCTCATTTTAACTTTGACATACAGTATCCATACATGGTGTTCATTTTTAAATTCACTTACAAACATGAATTAATTCATTTTAAATGAAATTATTTTTTATTAGAAATTTATTATTTCAAACATAAAATATGTTAAAAATAATTTGATAACAATTATAAATGAAGTTATTTATTATATTAAATAAATTTTCTTAGTTCCCGTTGTAAAAAAATTTTGTAGATTTTCACTCAAGATTTCCTTTGATAAAGATAATTTATTTGATTTCTTAATAATTTTTTGAACTTTGGCTTTGTTTTTAATTTTATTTATAAGTAAGATATCTCTCATTTTATTCCCAATTAACAAAAAATATATAAAATTAAGTTTTATTATAGTAAAAGAAATATGAATAAAAATAACTCAAAAAGTAAATATAATACTAATAATCTTAGAACTTGAAATATCTATTTTGTGGTTTCTATCATTACCTAACGACAATTCGAGTATTCAAATAATTTGCTAAATTATACCAAAAACCTATTACATACCATATAAGATAACAGACAATAATATCTGAATAAAGACAACTTTAATTAGATCTAATTACAATTTAACAACATTAATGAACTTTTTGAACACAAACTTTTTATAATAACCTACTCCTAGATAATATAATTTTTGCTAAGTACTTAGAAGTAAGAATGATAAAATTTCTATAGTGTAATATAACGTAAAACAATTATATATTCGATTTTTTTCCTATTTGATATATTTTAATTTAGTATTAATACCACAATTTTAATAGCATAGCCAATAGAAAAAAGATCTTCTAATTTATTTTATATACGCACATTTTTTATATCCCCATAAATTTTATACTTTATAATATAAATATATTAATTTAAGTCATGTAAAATGTTTGTTAAAACAACAGAGGTTTTACATTTTATGATTTTGGCATAAAAAATTGATTTTATTTTGGCATGATTTTTAGCACGTGAAATTAAAATTGTATTTTTATAATGCAATAGCAGTACCTACTGTCTAATTTGTTTTTATTTGTTAATATGCATGTAGCAAATATTTATTTTTTATTATATTTTAGACCTGATAAAGATGTGACCAAATTACTTTAAGGCAAATCAGGTAAGAATTGTAAGACTGTTGTTTTTGCCTTTCAGAGAATGTTTTTGAGGTATGCAAATTTTGTAAAATTTTTCGTCACTTTAATTTATGTAACATACCAATTTACATGTTTAGCCGTTCGTGGACATTTGACATACTTAGATTTTATAATTATATATTATTTATAATACTATCTACTTTTTATATTTATATCTAAGGAACTATATTTTTAATTCAGGTAATACGGTGACCACGTGTATCTAAAGATATAGGTTCTTATAATATCTATATTTTTATTTAATAATTGTTATTATTAGACTATTAATATGTTTGTATTACATGGAAGGAGGCATTGCATACTATGAATCAACAATGTTGCATAGCGATTTTGTAAATATGTATTATTTAAGCAATTAGGTACTGTTATACATATTATGTTAAATAAGTAGGTTATTATAAATTAACGTAGGTATTTATTCTTATTGTAAGTTTATGTAGTAGGTAATGTTTTGTCTCCTTTTAGCTTAAAAACTGCAAAATTAGGTTTCTCTCTTTGATACGAACACATTGCCTTTGCCTTTTTAAATCACGTTATTTTGTAAATATATCAGCAGCAAATTAAGTTTTTTTTTCTTTCAATATTTTACAATTAGTATACAGCAAGAAATATGTCTTTTTAGCAATGTAATATATTTTATATGATGTTATTTTTTATAGCAGGCAAGCCTAAACTATATGTATCTTTAACAAATGATTTCTTATGATACTCTTCCTGCATTATTCATTTGACCCTTCATCAATCAAATATAAATCTTAACACGCAGCAGTTGGCGATATTTTGGCATGAATAGAATTTGTAAATATGTATATTTATTTTTTGTAATAGTATAGGTATTAGATACTAATAAAAATCTAATTTGGATAAAATTGGTTCAAACTCAATAAAAGTGTGAATGTTACTCTATATATTAGGAATGGCATGTCACAACCCTATTATAAACTCTGAGAACACAACCCTAGGGAACGAAAACCATGATTTTTGTGTATAAATATCAATAAGGTATAATATTCTTTCATATAAGTAGTTATAATTTTAATATAATACGCTTATTTATAAATTGTAACCAAAAAAGAAAAAAAAAATACGAAATAAAAAACACAAATTAAAAAATAACCATTTATTTATTTGTGAAATAAAATTGCAAACATAAAATATAAAATGAAATAATTTACAACAGAGGTTAAAGATTTTTTTATATAAAAATAATAAAATCACAACGTTTATATCATGTACTTTACAATATCTACAATATGTTTATATGTTTATCTATTAAGTATACAACGGTATAATATCTGTTTATAATAATTTGCGAATATTGTCATTTCAGTAAAGGTAACAAAGTGAGTTCATTTAAAATTATTTCATTTTCAATGAAAATGAAATCGTAACATAAATATCTTTGTTCATCTTTTTATTTTATGTTAAATGCATTTATTTTCTCTTCAATTTCCGTGTTATTAATTTGATATACATACAAATATTTTTTTCATTTATTATTTGAATGACAATTTTAACAAATTATTGACTTTAATTAAAATCACATAAAATCAACAATTAAACTTACAATATATGTACGTACTACGTTATTTTTAATTCAAAGTATTCTGCATATGAATTATTATTAGAAATTCTAACAAACACTATATTTAGATCCTGGTTATTCAAATTTGAATTTTACTACTTTTTAATTAGGATACTTAATTGTAGCTGCACCGGCTAGCTAGTCTTGCAAATATAATTTTCATTTTAATATCTACGAAATAGAACTTAAAATTGATAAACGGTAAAAAAATGTTTGTTATAAATTCTAATTTTATTTCAATTTGAGACTAACATGTATAATATCGATATCGATGAATTGCTCGAAAACTTTCAGGAAATATTGTAACGAAATATCTAGCCTTTATTTTTAAATAAAGATTTTTCGATAAACCTTGACCGATTCATCGATATCGATACGAATTTTGGAATCCTTACGTACTGTTTACGCGTCATAATAGTCTCGGGGACTGGTGACGCCTTTCCTGTAAAAGAAAAAATCGAATGAGGATCAGATAAAAAATATTTTTTTGAAATACTTAATCATGATAAGTACCGATATATTATTATGCATTGGCAAAACCCGTTAAAATTAATTCCCAATGTATGTTTTGATAATATCGGTATTGATATTTAGTAATTTCTATCTTTGATAAAAAAAAATGTGGAAATAAGGAAGCAGATAAGTACGGATTTTTCTACGGAAATTTACGTGCGTACGTAGGTGTTATCGTCTTTTTTATATCTAGTACACAACTACGTAATTATTTAGTTACCTATATTAAAAAAACGTTATCTCCAGGATATAAAGCAATGTAGGTAATATTGACTAGTATATGGATATTTATACAATCTTTTGTTTTATATCATTTCCTTTCACAGTGAGTCAATTTACAATATTTAGAATCAAAAACGTCGACAGGTTCAAGCCAAGCCATTCGACTAATTTACTACTACCTACTCATGATAAGTAACCTGGCTTGAGATATGAAGACTTAGGTCTTCGAATAGATACGGTAATAGGCTGTATTTTTTTACCTAAACTGTTTACAAAATAGACACATAAGTAAAACAATAGGTACTTAGCCCTGACTCATGTGTGATTTTTCGGAATGTGATTATTTTATACTTATAATATTATATTTTGTTATATTATGAATGTTGTCGTCCGGAAAACTTAACAAATACTTATACACGGCGAGAGAACAATTTAAAACGATAAATATCCTGACGGTACCTTGCCACGATTCCATCTGTCCAAAGTACAGAAATCCTTTATGGGGTTCTGTGTAAATTGTTACAATAAAATTTCAAAAAGTGTATTAAATCTTAATGAACGAAAATTTAAAACTTATATTAAACGCGAATTATGTAGACAGGCATACTACAAACTTTCAGATTATATTGAGGATAAGAATGCCTGGCAGCATCTTGGTTCGGCTCCACTGGACAATTCTCAAATATGTAGTCAGTAGTTATTGAAATTCTCAAAATTAATGAAACCTTGAATAAGTTTATATAGAAGCATTCTTTTGGATTGTGAGTACGCATATGTGAGCGCCATGTTCGAGACAACAAAGGATTAAAATTTTAATGATAGATTAAATAGACCATAATTTGTTCCTTTTTATTAACAACTTGTCTCTGTGTTGTTCTCACATAGGGGTACAGTAATGTATAAAAAATGTATTATTGATGAATTGTAAAACAAATTCTAAGTGTGGGAGAGCCATGGGTCGGCTCGACCGGAGTGATACCACGGCCTCACAGAAAACCGGCGTGAAACAACCACAGTGTTGTGTTTCGCCGTGTGAGTGAGGTTACCGGAGGCCCAATCCTTCCCCTTCCCAATCCCTCCCCAGTTCCTAAATTTCCAAATCCCTAATCCTTAAAAGGTCGGCAACGCACTCGTAACTCCTCCGTTGCGGATGTTCATGGGCGGCGCTGATTGCTTACCATCAGGTAATCCGTCTGCCCGTTTGCCGACCTATTACATAAAAAAAATATATATATTTTTTTTTTAGTACCAATGGAGTAGTAACAATGGAGTTTCTTGCTCGTTCTTCTCCATTCGAAACTACAATTTGGAACGAGCACCTAGCTTCACTGACGAACAGACTGACAGACTACTATTCTATTTTGACGTTTCAAAAGTACCTATTTATGGTTTAGTTGGAATAAATGATTTTGATTTGATTTGACACTTAAAATTATATCTTAAAAATCATTCGATCTATTAAAATATCCGTATCCATATTTGTTACGTAGTTTTAAAGATCTATGCGTACATAGGGACAGACAACACGAAACGACTGTTTTATACTACGTAGTGATGAATACTAAAATGAAAACACATTTATAAAGAATAAAAAATAAAGCGTCAATGAAATGAAAATGTTATTTTATTTTTTATGAAATAATATTTTATTTGAAATGAATTATTAATTCATAAATAAAATGAATGTTATTTTTTATGAATAATATTTCATTTAAAATGAATTAATAATTCATAAATGAAATGTATGTGTTAGTAATATCGTACCAGAATGCACTACCGCTAGGGAGGTGCCGGCTACACGTTTGTAGTGTACCTGTAATGTTAGTGGGTTATAATGAGAGAAGATTAGCCATAGCAGTATTAAAGAACAGACTGATAAGAAGGTTAGTTGAGAATTACAGTGTCTTGAAATTATTTGGAAAAAATCGAATTTGAAAACTTATAAATTTATATTAAGTAGGTATTTGTTCTATTTAAAGTATGAATATTTTTGATTTTAAGTCGCATAGTGAAATTTTGTTGTGTTTTGTTCTAGGTGTTTTTTACTTTATCATAGAAAACTTGTGGGTGTGTGTGTGTGTACTGTTGTGCACTACTTTATAAGAATTTTAACGAATATATTTATTATTATAAACAGAACGTTGCCCCATGATTAGCTTTTTCTTCTGTATTGTAGATGCTTCTAGAAACATACAATTTCACATACGCGGAATATTAATTTGTGGAACACAACTATTTAAACCTTCTTTGTGTTTTCGATTCTATTTGGCATATACCTGCATTCTCAGCAAATATTAAAAGTTGTTTTTTGCTTTTATCCAAAAGACAAAACGATACTTTTCTATGAAATTTGTATGAAATACTGAGCTATGACGTTAAAGTATTTTAAAGTCATATAGCTTAGGTACTTATTTCTTAAAAAATATCTAAAATTTATTGTATCGATCGATATCGATGAATGAAGGTATAGTTATTTTTCAATATTTTATTGTATTGAAACGTGGAATTTATTTATCTTTGACTTAGGAAACTACCCAATTTTAAGAATATTTCAGAATAGATTACATACTTTTACATTTCAAGACACGTTAATTCATAAGATTATAAAAGTTCTAAGTACTAATGAAGCGCAAGCGACTTTAATTCTTATTTCATCGCAATAAGTACCTATCTCGTGGTGTGATCACATCCTCATCCGATTCAAAATCGAAGAGGTCATCTCGGACATAACTCTTGTTGGCAAAACCTCCCATGTCCACTGAAATCGAGAAAACAATAAAAAATATTAAATCATCATACAAGTAGGCTAGAAACGCTTCGGCATGAGTGGGTTGGCTCGACCGGCCGTGAAACAACCGCAGTGTTGTGTTTCGTTTCACCGTGTTAGGGAGGTTACCGGAGGTAAAATCCTCCCATTCCACTGATCCTCTATCCCTACATCCCTCAAGAACCACATAATTCCATCAACGCACTTACATTAGTCCCTTTATTATTGCGAGTTTCTATATCCTGCCCACGCCTAAAAAGGTGGACTTGGAATTCCTCTACTGGTGCTACGAATGTCTATGAAAAGTGCAAACTGCTTACCATCAGGTTAAAAAAATGACTAAGTATATAGATGCTAGAAATAACGGCTCACTCACGTGAATGTCTCAATTAGAAGAGCTCTACAAGTTTCAAGTCAAAACGGGATTCTTATTCATGAGCGGCGATGTCGCCGGCAGAGGGCGCTCAAGCTCGAGTTATCCATTTGGCTTTGCGACATCTCCGCGACGCATAAGTTGGTCATGAATAAGAGTCCCGTTGTGACTTGAAACTAGTAGAGCTTTTCTCAGTTAATTAATTATTGTGAGTACCTAAGTCGTTATCTATACTCATATTATAAAGAGGTAAAATTTGTAAGTCTGTAAGTTTGTATGTTTGTAAGTTTGTATGTAGGGTGTAATCTTTGGAACCACTGGTCGGATTGGCAAAATTCTTTCACTGAAAGATAGCTACAATGTTCCTGTGTGCTATAGGCTATAAAACATCACGCTACGATTCAATGGAGCCGAGCAGCGGGTAAAACCGCGCGAGATTAGCTGTTTCCAATAATTGTAGCTTGTCTCATAATAGTTACTATTGCAAAATATACGTATAAGATGGTATATATACCTCGTGTAGAGTCATCGTACTTGTCGTCGACCCACTTGTAGTCGTTCTCGGAGTAGAGCGGCGGGAGCGTCTGATGCGGCGCGGGGTACAGGTCCAGGTGGCGCTTCTCATTCTGTATGCTGTCCGTGTCGCCGTATGCCTTCATCCTGGAATGTATAACGTCGATAATTAAAGAAGCAAGCCAGCAAAGCAATGCCCAAGCTTTGCCCTCCCCCCATTCGTCCCAAATCCCCAAATCTCCGAAGCTCTGATACCTAAGAGACGGGCAACGCATTCGTAACACCTTTGGTGTCTTTGGTTAGTGCTAATTGTTTACCATGTCATCTGACTGCTCGTTTTTTACAAAAAAAAGCACAGCCAAATAACATTTCAATAGTTACAAATAGTAATTATACATATTATATATTAAACGTACAATAGTTACAAATTACTATGGAGAAAGGACACTGAGGAAACGTATTCCATACATACTCAACGGATTACCTGAGGATATAAGAAATTAAACCAAAAAAGTAGATTTAAAAGTAAGTTAAAAAAATATCTCTTGCATAATTTATCCGACACATTGATTTGTAATATCATAGTACATAATAATAACTAAGCACTTCATTTGTTAAAATAAATTGTATTTTAATTAGTTAATAAATATAAGTTGATCCCACAGTCAAACTGCTTTTACAGTGTTGTGGGACATTGTCATTAGTTCTTAAGTTTACTCTGTATTTTTCTAATAAATAAATAAAAATAAATAAATTAAATCTATCCTTGTACTTTTACCTTCTGTGTTTTCAGTATATCTTTTTTATTACCTTATATATGTATATGTGTGTCGTACCTGGATAATTAAAATGTATATATTGTTATCTATGTGTTACAAGTCACAAGCGATATTATTTAGAATTCAGAAGTAAAGTAAACCCAAAAAGACATTCAGAGCAGCAGTGTGAATCTGTAAGTATAACTTCATTCTAAACTTCGAATCTGAATCCGCTGTGAGTAGTAGTACACTAGCGCTACACTTGCGAGTTGAACTAAATTGACCGCAACATTTCGATAGATAAAGTATGAGATGGCGTTAAAAGTGGCATTCTAAAATTTAATTTACCCGTCACTTCGACGCTCACTTCGCACTCGAACAAGATTCAAAATTAAACAAATTGTATAGAATCAACGTGCAGATATACTCATCGATTTCTTCGATGCTATTTTGTTTTTTGTACAGGACCAAAATCAATCAACTCGATGTACCTACTGTCTATCTGAATTTGAATAAGTAAGATATGGCTAAAGCTAACCGAGAAAAACAATATATTTTTCGACTTGTTATTTATTACCGTATAATCTCTTTGTTTACCATTTACCTTCACAATGCATTCACTTTTGTTTTTATAATCTTCTGCTTTATATATATAATTCTGATGTACGTGTTATGTCATTGAACTCCTAAACGGCTTGAACGATTTAAATTATTTTTTCATGTACACTTTTTTATGGCATAAGTAGGCAAACGAGCAGACGGATTACCTGATGGTAAGCAATCGGCGCCGCCCGTCTCCATGGGCGGCGCCGATTCGCAACACAACACCAAAGGAGTTATGAGTGCGTTTCCGGCCGGGAATAAGCTATTTAGGGATTTGGAAGGGATAGGGGAGGGGGAGTGATTCTTCCTCCGGTAACCTCAATCACACGGCGAAACACAAGGCTGTGGTTGTCACGCCGTAGTATCACTCCGATCGAGCTGACCCATTCTTGCCGAAGCCTGGCTCTCCCACACTTATATTTGTCTTTCCATACCTGGTGTAATCCTCGAAGCAGCTGAACCTCCATAGAGCGAAGGCAAGCATGGCCATAGAGATGATGACTCCAGCAGCGATCACCAGCCACACCATCAACACCGTCTGGTCGTCGGGGATGGCGTACTCCTGGAAATTAATCACCGTGATATAAGTCTTTTGAATAAGGAACATTTTGGTGGTGGTTTCAATTAATCGCATATTATTTGTAGTAGGTACCTACTATGTATAGTTGACGACTACTGAAAAAAAAAAAATTTTTCTCAATAAATCTGTTAAGGATTTTTATGGGACATCTGCAACACTGAAAGTGTTACAATTTATTGTGTTGTTTGGCGTTAACACGCTGATACTCAATTTATTGCAATGTCATGAAAGTCAACTGTAATCTAACTATAATCATAAAAAACCTATTGCACTTTTCTTAAAACTTCAGATGGCCACAATAATCAATAAAAGCTCATAAAATCCACCACAAAACGTTTCTCAAAAGACCATAAGACATCAAGCACAACTAAGACTCACCGTGATACCAAAAGACCGCAGTCTGTCAGCAAAATCGTCTTTAATGATGTAAGTAGTCCACATGTCATCCAGTTCCTTTGTGGACAGCCTCGGCTCCTTCTCCTCATCCTCTTCTTCATACTGCAAGGGTATACCGAAGGTCACCTCAACGCAGTTCTCATAGTCTGGCCATTGGATGTTGCAGATTGCTGTCCTGGTGATCTGCGTGACTTCATACCTGGAATAGACGAAATCGATTTGGTGAGTTTGGAGAATCGATTTGTTCAATTTTTTGGAATCGATATCGATCGCCTCGACAAATCAGATAGCAATACAATGCAATTGCTGTGGTATCATATTTATAGTTCTATATACTTCAATTGAAGTAATTGGTTTGTAACTGTTTTAATGAAACTAAATAAATAGTGCACTAGTTTCTGTAATTCAATTAGAGCGATCTTACAACTCTGGGGTATCTAAACTTGTGAGTGATCTCATGATCTGAGGGCAAATGAAAATGATAGGATCAGGGCTAGAACAAAGATGTGCTTCGAAGCAATGAGATATGTATGTGGTATTATAATAGTTTTCTTTTTAGCAAACGAGTCGACGGATGACAAGATGGTAAGCAATCTGTGCAATCCACGATATCGAAGAGTTTCATGTGTGTTGCTAGCCTTTTAGGGGACAGGAATATGAGGATTTAGAGGAAGGATTGGATTATTGTGTAGTGTGGAAGAGCTATGCTTCGGCACGAATGGACCGGTTCGACCGGAGTGATATCGCGGCCTCAAAACAACCACAGCGTTGGGTTTGGCCATAAGAGTGAGGTTACCAGACCTTCCTTTCCCTAATCTCTAAATCCCCAAAAACCGAAAAAAAGCCACACCCTTGCAACTCATCTGGTGTAGCTTACCATCAGGTAATCCGTCTGCTGGTTTGCCGCTGTATAATGATAAGAAAGGCCAACAAATATTCAATATTCTCAACAATATGATATTAACTTTTCTACATGCAAAAATTATTTGCATGTAAATGTGTATGATGTGTGTAGTGGACAAAAATGTATTCTCTATAAAAACCTTGTGACATTTGAATCGCATACTAATAACTAATTTAATATCTTTAAAAATAGCATAAGTAAAATAAACAAACAGTTATCTATGCCAACAAATATAAAAAAATCTTCAGAGTTTATTTGTTTGTTTGAACCCGCCAATCTCCGCAATTGCTGATTCGAATTTGATAATGCTTTTTGTGTTCGTTAGCCCATTTATTGAGGAAGACTATGAGACCAATATAAAACATCACGCTGCGATCTTAAAGCCGAACAGCGGGTGAAAAAGCGAAATTAGATTATTACAATAGTTTAAAACAAAGTCAAAAACAAAGGTTAGGTCGTAACTGGCTAATGTATAAGACCTACCTAGACCTACTGCCTATAAACAATACTTTAAACTACTTTGTATACATAAGCTGTGACACCACATTATTATAATCAATAAATAAATAAGACGCTTTCTAAGTCCTACACCCTTATGTACATAATATATGCCTAAATCATAAATGATTGAAAAGAAAGGTCAATATCTATAATAACATCCATTATACCTATATATAATCAGGATTTCAGACGTGCGAAGTCAGGGTGGGTCGCTAGTAAATTGTAAATAAATAATTTTAATTATTATGACGTGGATAGATCATAAAATAAACGATAAACTGCGTTCAGTGTTCAGCATTGGAGAAGTTATAAATAAATCAATGTCAGAGCGACTGAAGGTTATACCATCGCTCATATTTCTATTACATTACTAAGATAAAACTCTTTAAGCATAATGTTCTTTTCTTACACGGGATCCCGGACCTTTGGAAGGCGTATGAGGGGCCGAACCTAACTCGCAGAGGCCCGTTATAGTCAAAATTCAAAGTCAAAATCATTTATTTCAATTAGACCCATACAGGCACTTTTGAACGTCAAACAAAATTTTAAAGATATAAAGTGTCAGTCTGTCCGTCAGTCCTCTTAGTGAAGCTATTTGCTCGTTCCAAAGTGTAGATTCTGATGGAGAAGAGCGAGCAAGAAACTCCATGGTTACTCTTTTTAAATCAGTGTCACATAAAGATTCTTTGATACATTATTTAGTTGGTTTGATTATGTGAAAACAGTGTAACGCGTGTATATAGAGAAACATAAAAAGAAAATAACCTTAAGGACAATAGACAGTCCGAAGCTGACCAGTCCCAATTGACGGCGCCCGTTTACGATAAACGGTTAAACGGTTTTAACCTAAATACGATAGGACATCATATTGTTTATTATTAAAATATCGACTGCATGGTCGGCGCAGTGGCTGGGCAACGGGCTGCCGCGCAACGTATCGCGGTTTCGATGCCCGCACGGAACAACTCTTTGTGTGATCCACAATTTGTTTTTTTGAGTCTGGGTGGGATGCGTTTGTGAAATTGAATGTTTATAAACGCACCCACGACACAAGAGAAAATACTTTAGAATTTTTTGAAAGACATTTCAGTTTTTGAATCTCCTCGACTGGGTTAGCTCCACCTCAAAGAGCACCAGCGTCAAGTGGTGACGTAACGCTACTGAGTGCAGTCCGATTGGTGAGAACTACGATGCATTCTTTTTTTTCAAAATCCGTAGTAAACCAGGAACCGTTATACAGTCTCCATATGTCTGTCTGTCTGTTTTTTTAATGATAGGTCGGCAAACAAACTGACTAATTAGGTACCTGATGGACACATTCGGCGCCACCCATGTACACCAGAGGAATTACGAGTGCGTTGTACGCCTGTACGGTCTCATCGCCGTACATTTTTCTTTTCGTTCTTTTGTTTAAGACGGCGATATATTATACATATGTACCTACCTAAGGTCGTCAAACCTATTTGTCGATAGCTTTTTATTAATCCTTTTGTCAGACGTGTGTTTTTGAGAAATCGGATCGGTGACTTAACCTACATATGTGTTATTATTGTTTGAATAAATGCACTTGAATTTTAATATATGTAAAGTTATTTTTATGTGTGAAGTTACCGGAATCCAATCTTTCACCCCCTCTAATCCCTAACTAGCAATCGCCATCTCCCAAACTCTTATCTCCAAAAGGTCGGTAACGCATTTGAAACTCATTTGCGACCCGCCTCGACTTCGCACGGGTGCAATACTGATACTAAATGTCTCCACTATTTAATGGGTGTTATTATACCTTATAAGCCTTCCTCTTTTATCACTCTATCTTTTAAAAAGACCGCATCAAAATCAGTTGCGTAGTTTTAAAGATTTAAGCATACATAGAGATATAGGAACAGAGAAAGCGACTTTGTTTTATACTATGTAGAACCGTTAAGTATATGATAATATTCAAGTATATAGAATTATGTAATAACTTCTACAAGTGCATAGTTATATAACAATTCTACTAATATTATAAATGCGACAGTTTGTATGTATAGCTAGATGTTTGTTACTCTTTTACATCAAAACTACTGATTAGATCTGAATGAAATTTGGTACAGAGATAGTTTTTTTTTATGTAATAGTTACCTATTACAGTAACCGGCGCCGCCCGATCGACCCTACTCCCTGAAAGGTCGGCAACGCATTCGTAACTGTGTGTATGGACATTTTAGGGATTAGGGTTTTGGAGATTTAGGGATTGGGGACACTTATTCAGACACCACTGATATACGGTGTAGGTAAACATCGTGAGAAAACCTGGACTTATAATTTCAAATTATAAGTTTGAAATCACCAACCCGCATTGAGCAAGCGTGGTGATTAATGCTCTAACCTTCTCAGCATGAGAAGAGGCCTTTGTTCAGCAGTGGGCAGTTATAGGCTGATGATGAAGAATGAGGGATTGGGGAGGGATCGGGGGAGGGGAAGGATTGGGCCTCCGGTAACCTTACTCACACGGCGGAACACAACGCTGTTGTTGTTTCACGCCGGTTTTCTGTGAGGCCGTGGTATCACTTCGGTCGAACCGACCCATTCGTGCCGAAGCACGTCTCTCCCATACTTGAGAAGTGTCGATTAGACTCAGTAATAACACTCTAGGCTAGGATTACAGTCAGTAATAAACTAGTTTTACTTTTCAAATTATGTAGCTAACATTTCGAAGAGTGACGTCATTAAGTGACAGACAAGAAGATGGCTGTCAACATCTTTACAAGCGATAAACAATCTTGTTCTATGACGCACAAGGTATAATTAGCAATAAAACTTGTTTGGAAGTTTGTCTGTTCCATATAATGAATATTCTACATTTTCGACGTACTTTTTTGCTTTCGTATTAATAATAATAAGAAATTATTAAAGCCTAGGTCAACACATATGTTATTACCTACTGTAAGCAAAATTGCACTCTAAATGCATAGTAGGACAGTTATTTTTAGAGTAATGTCTCAGTCATGCAAAAGTGAGGTTGTTTGTAACAGATTAACTTCTAAACTGCTGAATCGATTTTGATGAATTTTGACTCTGAGTTAAGAAAAAGGCATTGACTTTGTGAATGTTCTTATTATTGTTGTAAAAATAATATGCGTTTGTTAGTTATAGATAATAATTTTGACCGATTTTAAACCGTAAGTTATTAAGTCAAATAATAAATAAAAATGGGCCAAGTCGAACTCATTTATTATGTAGAAGTCCTCTTTAAATGCATTCGGTAAAACTTTATAAAGACAACAGAAAACATCAGCTGTCCAAATTTAACTTGTCTTACTATTACTGTTAATGTGCTACTTGCATATTAACAAACAGACAGACAGACAGATAGATGGACAGCTGAGTCTTAGTAATAGGATTCTCGATTCTACATTTTCAGTACGAAACAAGAAGATAAATATTCATTACAATATTAGCGGTCGCCCGCGGATGTCGATTTTACAGTAGGTATTTCAAGAGTTTTTTGTAATTTTCTCTTTATAAAAACCTTTTCTTGACTTCCACAAATAATTCAAGAGCAAAATTAGCCAAATCATTAATAGCTAAAGCCATTATTGAGCTCTATATGATTGTTATATAATTATATAGATGTACTGGTCCATTGATTTGAATAATAGGTAGGTACCTACAAATAAAACACATCTATTATCAGCTACTTTGTTCAAAATATCTTTCGCAAAACAATTCTCTATTTCTATTATATATCGCGACATGTTTATCAATACATAATATGCTGTTATCATTCGTCATAGAGTTATCAATTCGATGAT